CATTTTTATGTGTTTTCTGGATTGTCTGTTCAAGGCTTTTCCCCCATTTTTCTACCAGGGTTTTGTTCCTTTCTTTGTCCCTCAATTTTGAAGAGGTATTTATCTACTTAGTGATATTAGTCCTTTGTCTGTGGTATATATTGCACATATTTTCTCCCAATTCTTGCTTATCTTTTGACTTTATGGTGTTTGAGCATACAAAAGTATTTACTGTTCAGATTTATCAATCTTATCTTTTACTGCCTCTGTATTTTGAATCAGAGTTAGAAAGCCTTTTCATAGACTGAGGTTAAAGAATAATTCACCCCTATTTTCCTCTAGTACTTGTATGGTTTCATTTTTTGTTTAGGTCCCTGATCCATTAGGAGCTTAATCTTGTGTTCAGTGTGAGGTATGGATCTAATTACATGGTTCTCAACCAGGGGCAATTTTGTCTCCCCAGGGGACATTTGGGGCAGTGTCTGGAGACATTTTGGGTTGTCAAAAAAAAAAAAAAAAAACTAGGGGGAAGAGTGCTCCTCGCATCTCTTGGGTAGGGGCCAAGCATGCTGCTAAACATAGCACAGTGCACAGGACAGCCCCCACAGCAAAGAATTATCGGACTCAAAATGTAATGCCGAGGTTGAGAAACTCTGATGAAATTTTTTTCCTTTACCAAGTGGCTACCCAGTTGTTCCAACATCATTTAAAAAATTCCCATCTTTTGCCTCAGTGTTTTGGGATACTGCCTTTATCATAGATTATGTTTTCATATATATTCGGGTTGATTTCTGGACTTTGTATTCTTTTCTAGTGGCATATTTTTCTTTTTCTTTTTTTCTACTGGTGTATTTTTCTATTCATATATTAGTACCACACTTTTGTAATTATAAACGCTTTAAAGATATTTTAATGCCTGGTAGAGCTACTTACCCCTTATTCGTTTCCTTTGTCAATGTTTTCCTGGCTGTTCTTGTATGTTTGTTTTTCCATAAAAACTTTAGTATCAATGGGTCTAACTCCATTTAAAAGAAAGCTTATTGGTATTTTTTTACTGCGATTGTGCTAAATTTATAAATTAACTTAGAACTTACCTACTTATAATGCTGAATCATTCTTTCTAAGAATAGGGGACATCCTTCCATTTGAGAAAATCTAATTTTGTGTTTTTTAGGAATGCTTTATAGTTTTTCTCATACAGGTTTTGCACATTCTGGTAAATTAATTCCTAAGTATTTAATCTTATTTGTTATTGCTGTAAATGGAGTTTTCTCTACTACTAGGTCTTTTAATTGGCTATCACTTGTGTAAATGAAGGCTATTGATTTTTGTGTGTTTGTATCCTGCTACCTTACTGAATTCTTTTAGTGTTTGAGTTAGTTTTATCATTGATTCTCTACCAGGAAAATCCTATAGCATCATATCATCTGCAACTAGATATAGCTTTACTTCTTCCTTATCAAATCTTACGCCTGTAATTGATTTTGTGCAATTGCATTGATTAATCTCTCTAGTATAATATTAATTAGTAGCAGAGATAGTGAGCATCTTTGCCTTGTTCCTGATTTTAGTGGAAATGCCTCTAGTGTTTCCCCTTTAAGAGACTGGCTTTAGGGCTAAGATATGTATATTTTATCATGTTAATGACGTACCACTCAATTCCTATTTTCTCAAGTCTTTTTATAAAGAATCGGTGTTGCAACATCAGGACAGAGTTATTTAATTTTGCAAAACAAGTAGTTTAAATTAATGTTGAAGTCTGGAATTTGGTAGCACAGACACCCCATTTTAGAAACACTCACATAATTAAAAAAAACCCATTTTCATTATTTATCTGTTTGATATTTTTCTTACCCCCTAAATGTTTTATGATCTTTGTGTCTTTTCAAATGTTTGAAAGCTTAATAAATTCACCTTCACATTTGCTTAAAAAAAAAAAAGAAGAACAGGTGTTGAATTTTATTTAAGGCCTCTCTGGCATCTACAGAGATAATCATATGGGGGTTTTTTTCCTTTAAATATGGTATATGATACTAATAGATTTCTTAATATTGAACCAACCTTCTATTCCTAGAATAAATCCCATTTAGTCATGGTATATTATTTTCTTAATGTGGTATTGTTTGCTCACATTTATTATTTCCGCATTAATAACCTGAGTGATACTGGTCTATATTCCCTCCCCCTCCCTCCCTTCCTTCCATTCTTTATCAGGTTTAGGTGTCAAACCAACCTTCATAAAATGTTCATAAAAGAAATGGGGAAGTTCTATTTTATTTTCAGTGCTCTCAAACAATTTATAGAGCATTGGGATTCTCTGGACTTGGGAGGTTTAGAATTCCTCTGGAAAACCATCTGGGCCTGAGATCATCTCCTTTGCTACCCTTGAAGGAGGAAGATTCCCAGATGGACTTTAAAATTGTGAGAGAGACCTTGAATTTTCAGCTGACGGTGGGTTTTAAGCTAAATTGGCTGGTCAGTTTCCTTTGTGTTCCTCTTGGAGAACTTCTGATTTAAATTACATGTCAAGAAATCAAGCATCCCCTCTTTCCACTTGCAAGAGCTATGAGGCTACTTTGGAGTCATCACCAGATATAAACAGGACACTGTACCTCTTGAAAATTTAAAATATACCAGTGCACCCTTAGGATTTCACTGCAGTGCCCTGGAGGACCTCATCACACAGTCTGGGAACCACAGGTATATAGCCTTCCAGCCTTTTTTCCTATGCAGGTATGTATATATACTCACACATACACTCATAGATCTTTTTGAGCTCATACCATACACAATTTTATACACTACTTAAAAATCTCTGATAAAATATATACATTTTCCATGTCATTGAATATTCTTTAGTAACACTATTTTTGATACTGTAGTCTATCCTATGAATATATCAGAATTCATTAAGTACCTGCTGTTGGATAGTTAAGATATTTGTAACTATTTTTCCTAGTTCAGTGAACATCCTGGTGAATAAATCTTTGCATTGCCTTGGGATAAATTCCTAGACACAGAATTGCTGGATCAAAGGGTATGAATATCTTATAGGGGTTTTTTTTGGTAAAGATTTTATTTTTTTAAGTAATCTCCACACCCAATGTGAGGCTCAAACCCACAGCCCCGAGACTGAGAGACGCATGCTCCACCAACTGAGCCAGCCAGGCGCCCCATCTTATAAGGTTTTTTTTTTGGCCACATTTTTTATTTAAGTAGAATTGAGACACAGTGTCACCTTAGTTTCAGGTGTACAACAGTGATGTGACAAATCTATGCTACAGTATGCTGTGCTCACCGCAAGTGTAGCTCCCATCTGTCACCATCCAAGGCTATTACAATACCATTGACTATAGTCCCTATGCTGTACCTTTTATCCCCATGACTTATTCATTCCATGACTGCCCTTCACCCATTTTGCCCATCTCCTCTTCCCCTCCCCTCTGGCAACCATCAGTTTGTTCTCTGTATTTTTGGGTCTCTTTCTGCTTTTGTTTGCTCATTTGTTTTGGTTTTTTAGATTCCACATACAAGTGAAATCATGGTATTTGTCTGACTTATTTCACTTAGCATAATTTAATATCTTACAGTTTGATAAATATTGGGAAATTGCCCTCTAGAAAGAGTGTAACAACTTATACTTCCTCTAGTCTTATATGTGAGTATATGTTATAGGCTTTTCATTTGATGGTAAGAGTTTGATTATAAGTGATTATGAATATAGATTCAGATATTTGTGTGTTTTAGGCACTATACTAGGCACTTTTTCATACACACACGATTTAATTGTATTTACATAACCCTGTTTTAAATCTTCTTAACAACCTTGTAAAATTGAAGTTATTATCCCCATTTCACAGATAAAGAAACTGGGACTCAAAGATAAAACTTTTTCAAAATCATGCAACCAAAGAAATTGTAGAGCTGGGATTTAAACCTAGTTAGACCCATAATCTTACTGCTATATCACTGATACTTCATGAACTTGATTGGCTATTAACAAGGATGATGATAATGTCGCATACATATTGAGTGCTTATTATGCATTAGGTACTATTTACATGTATTAACACATTCAGTCTCTGTTTCAAACTTGAGGTACTATCACTGTTCTCCCTGAGACACTGAAATGATTAACTTGTTCAGGGTCACACAGCTAATAAATGTTACAGCTGATATCCAAATCCAGGCAGTTTGACTTCACAGTCCGTACCCTTACTGACCAGACTACAGTAGGACAGTTTGCAGAGTTGTGGAAGATTGTGTATCAGAATCTCATTATGAATGCCTTTTTCCGTTGCTGTCTGAAGAAAATGTCCAGCAGTATGGTTGCAAATTTCCCGTCCCTGTACCTGCAGCCTTTTCTCTGGCAGCAATATACGGCCCTTGTAAGCTCAATGCATAGAACTGTGTTCTATTCGGAGTCACCTCCAGGTCTGAGGGATATAACTTGAATGGAAAATCTTCCAATGAACTTGGTGACCCAAACTTAATCAAATAAATGAAACAGTATTTCTAAATAATTGGGGAGATCTTAAGTATTATCATTTGAGATGGGTACACTTTCTGGTTTACGTAAGTGTGCTCTAGACTCCTCCTCTTATTGATGTTTGTTGGGTAAATGAAGCACCCTCATTGTTGTTCATTATTTTAGGCTTTTTCCTATAGCCTTACTTTGGTATTTAGACATTATTAAAAATTATGCAGATTATGACAAATGGTGTTATTTTTATGTCATTTCTGTAAATGCTCAACATTATTCTCTCCCACACGCCCCCCTGAAAAAAACAACTTAATGAGCCACAAAACATGTTATAATGAATGGAAAAATATTTTTAGCCTTTTTATGCAGAAAATGCCTCATTAAAAGCAAATGCTTTAGCAAGCAGATTTGAGCTTAATAAAACTTTTGTTGAGCAGGAGCTTTTATGACAAATCACTAGCGTGTGTAACTGCTCTATATAAAGACCCAGAAAGCCCTAAGAGTCTCTCACCTTCCTTTCTTATCCCTGGGACTGCAGCAACATAGTTGAGTGTGACACGGCACAGAGGAGACTCGATGAGCCTGAAGGACATGGAGCCCGTGGTGCAGCCACAAGTAAGAAAAATATCTATGTATTGGTCAATATCACTCACTGTTTTAGCTGGCTGTGTAATAACATAGATGAAGTCTGTTCTCAGCTGGATGTTTGGCATCCTGCAGCCCAAATATCTTGCATCTGTTTTGCGTATTGTAAAAGCCATAAGGGCGCAGGGTTTATTACTATACATAGAAACTTAATTTCAAGTAAAAACCTCAACTTGGACCCACACTTGTAACTTCTTTAGATTTGGGGCCTCAAATTGTAATGACAGGGGAGCAGGGATCCAGCCATTCCAGCAGCCATAGGGGCTGATTTGGTCACAGAAATCACAGCCCCTCACTTCAACGATGCCCTCCTCGGAGGCACAAAATGCTCGCCTAGCCCCACCAAGGCCTTTGAAAGCACGCTGGCAGTGATGATGTCTGTAGGTGTTGTGAGCCGGGCTCGGCTTCATCTGCGAGTCATCCCCGGGGGCTTGGGCTGAGTCACAGCCACACCCGCCCAGGCAAAGCTGAAGTCACCAGCCGAGGAGGACGCTTGGGTAACTGGTTACCTGCAGCACTGGCCTTCCTCACAGAAAAAGGCGAAGCATAAGGGATGCCATGGCTCATCTTTAAGTGGCGATTTTTCACAGCGGGTAAGTCTTTTTCCCCCAGGCCACCCCACCGAGTCATCTGCACCATCACCTGGCCAGTAACAGTGAACACTTATTGAGGTCTAAGTCCGTGCCAGGCACCGTGCTGCATTCTTCCCATGCCTTACCTCGCTTACCCCTCAAACTGTATGAGCTTCGTGCTACTGATATCCCCACATTCCAGATGAGGGGACTGAGCACAAAGAAGTAAGCTGCCCTAAATCTTTCAGCTTGTATACAGAAAAACTAGTGTTTGAAGCAAAATTTTCCCCCAATTTCAGAGTCCTTAATTATTATTGCTTTGCTGCACTGTACAAGCAATTAACTAAAAAAAAAAAACAAAAACCTCTGTATTCCCACTCTATTCCCCCAAAGACGCATGAATGAAAGGGGTAAAAAAATCCAGTCACTCTCAAATGCCCACGACTTGCTCTCTCAGGCGGCCCAGCCTCCTCCACCAGGAGGAAGGAAATGGACTCCCAAGACCCACTCATGCTTCCCGATGAGCAAGGCCAGGGCTGCTGGCTGGCCACCAAGCTCACCGTTAAGAAGTGCCGCTCCTTAACTTCGCGCCTCCTCTGGCTGTGAGCTGGCGGATAGGCTGGCAGTGGAGGAGCCGCCACCGAAAGGGGGACAGCAGCTCTCTGCTCCCGGCGGTCACTCCGACTCCGGTGTTCTGGGGGCAGAGAAAGCAATGATACAGAAACATCCTTGGCATTTTCCATTTCTCTTTCCCCCTGGGGAGGGTGAGCAAAAGGCTAGAAAAAAGTGAGTTTTTCCTAATATAGCTCATCTGTATACCAATATAAGATTTTCAGAATGGTTCCAAACTAAACTTTCACTTCACAATAATACGTAAATGGGCACTTATATTTTAGCGGGTCCATCTCATAATCTTTGTATGAGATGGCGCACTCTGAGTTTGGAAAAAGCAGTGTATTTTCAACGTGCTTCATTTCAAAACAACACGAGCAAAAAAAAGTCTAGAATAATGGTGGAAGGTTTGCTGACACTGATGCTGGAGTGGATCACAGGCACAAGCATGCCAGAGCCTCTTGGGGAGTGGCGGGAACAAAGGCTCCCAGCCATCCGGTGGGCGATGCAGTCAGTCAGCTCACACGGGCTCAGGGCTGCTGGCTGCTGCGTGGTCAGGAACTCTGCGGGCCACTGGTAGCTTGCAACAGGCCACGGTGGGGGTATTTACATCACAGAAATTAGTGGGTGTTACACATCAGGGCTTTTATCTTCCTGCCATCTATCTACTTATTTATCTATGTTTTCTTTTCTAGAGAGCCTGTGACCAGCACACCCTTGCAGCCGTCCAAGCTCTGTCATGCCTAACACTCAGGGGGCTTTGAAATCCTAGGCTCCTCGAGAAAGTACAGGAATCCCAATGATGACAGTTGTCTGATTTAAGAATAAAGCTACCTCTGAGGAAAGCCAAGAGATTTCTGTTTGTGGGATAAAGTGGTCCTGACTTCATAACAAGAATCACTGAGAACCCAAGAGCACAGTTTAGCTTTCTGGGTGTTTCAGTGAGCTACAAAGCACACCCTGCCCAACACACTGGCCACAGTAAAGGCCGCCCCGCCTGCAAATGCAGCTCACGCTCATGCCTGGGGCCTCCTCGTCTAACCAAGATACAAAGTCACCGTACAGATAGTCTGTGCTGAACTGCCGCCACAGCCAGTGTTTATCAGAAATCCCTTTTGAGATAAATGTCTTCCTTGTTCAAGTGTCTACCTCCAGTGCCGCCCCCTTTTTTCTCTGCAAGCAAACAGTGGGCTTTTCTAAATGGGCAGCACAAGGAAAAAGTTACATTTTAAAATTCATGAGGAGGAGTAGAATACAGGTGTCACTGGTTAGGAAAAGGTTGGAGGAAGGGAGTTGGGAGGGAGACATGAACTCAATTTCCCATTTAGTTGCTCCTTTCCTACACTTTCTTAAATCTCTCTTTCATTTGCCCTAGGCTGGAAGGAGGCAGGCTAGATTAATAGCTCCCTAATAATACTTTTTTCTGGCGGTGTGGTGGGGAGAACATTCATCTGCTAGAGTCTAAAACTGCAGTAGACTTTTGGTCCTTATTCCTTTAGACCAGTGGAACTTAGACCTCAGCCCTGAAACTTGAAAGAAAATATAAATATCTCTTTATAGCCACTTAGTAATCTCTCTCCCTGTCTTACAAACATAAACGATGGCATCACTTAAAGCCATTATTGGCTCTGAGTATAAAGAATTGCCAAGAAAAAGGGGAAAAAAAGAGGAATCAGATTCTAAATAATTCAAAATCCCATGAGGTGTAACTTGCTCTGGGAAGCCTTCTCTGAAGCTCCATGGCATGATTAGTGCCTCTCCTCTGAGCTCCCATAGCACTGTGCTGAAATTACCCGGTTACTTGCCTGTCTCCTTCACCAGACAGGCACTCCCTGTGGACAGGGACCAGATGTTAGTTATTGCTCTCTGAATCCCAGGTTTAGCACGATGCTGGGGCCTCAGTAGGCTTTGCTGAGGGGTTTGCTACTGAGCAGATCTTGAAAGCAGCCAATTTCTAGGTTCTGATCTCAGTCCTCCCAGCTCTCTCCTTAGAGCCTCACCTCCACAAAGAGCACAGCGCTGCGGCCACCGCAGCTTTACTTGTCTGGGCTTCATTATCCACTCAGGCCTGGTGGAAGCCAGGATCTTCCAGCTGTCCAAATAGAGAACCTCCAGGGAAGCTCACTGCGGCATCTGCCGAGCAAGGCCGTTGTCTGGTGTTAGTTATGGCCACCAGATGGCAGAAGTGGTATTCTGATGAATGCACTGCTAAGCTACTGTTTCTTGGACAAGGTTAAAAAAAAAAGTCACTTTCTAATTTTAATTCCACACTGCATGTTTTTAATTCTATGATGGCTATAATTCCTGTTTATGGCTCTCTGCAGTGCTATTAAAACTACTACACCCAAGATTTGCTGTTGAGACAACCTCAAAGAAAGCCAGTCTGTGGAGGACAAGATGCAGCTCCACAGTCTTCCTTCTAAAACCCCAGGAGGCATTATATCCCTCCCTCAGCCCCCAGGAGGAAGTTCTGAGAAAATTGATATTGGCACTTGCTGTCCCTCAGTTCTGTCATTAAGTCCAAACCCGACAACGCAGTGAAATGTGATCGCTTACAAGCAGCTTAATGTTATCTGGTTGCATCTGGAAAAATCTAATCAGGGATGACTTATGAATAATAATAAAAGGATAAAAATAATTATGTCTAAAGGGCTAACGTAACTCAAGCTCTCTGATGATGGGATCAGAGAAAGTATCTAGTGAGAATGATCAGATTCCTGTGTCATCATTCTATGCCCTCAATGCTCAAGCAGTTTTCTACAGAATTTGATTTACTTACACATTCATTGAGGACCTACTCTATGTCAGGTTCATGCTAAGTGATTTGAATAAAAAAATTAATAAGACACCATCCAGAGCTCTTGAGTTGCTCATGGATTAATGGTGGAAGACGGGCCTATAGGAGGTTAGTGATGATACAAGCTTATAAGTGGCATGACTGGGAAGATGCAAAGGATATTATGGGAAGGGTTATCGAGGCTGCAAAGGAACGGTGAGTATGTTAAGGAAAATTTCCAGAAGATGGCTTGCACTAAAAATTTGGTAAAGAAGGACTTTTTAGCCAACTACAAAATCGAAGTGACTCAATTTAAAAAATCCAAGTGAATAGTAAGAATGCCAGAGATACTTCTAGAGGATATTGGTCATCACTATTATAGGTGTCACAGTATCTGCTACCAATAACCAAGGGGAGTTTTTAAAAACAGTTGCATTAGGGATATTAGTAGGTTAATTCTTTTGTTAAAGGGGGGAGAAGATGGGATATGGAGAAAGGGAAAAGTCATAAACATGTGGAAGAAAATAAGTTGAAAACAAATGTGTCATTTCTCCATCCTCATAGTGACAATAAAATGTGGTGTTTTTTTTTAATAGTAATACTTTTGGAAAATACTGTTCCTTAAAGGAGCATAGGGAATTTGGAACAAAGGCACTGAATGTACAGATACCATCTGTCTCCACATCAAAAATCTAAAGACCAAAAAAGCTGGTGTGCCAACTTCTGATACCCAACTTAGGGGGCTCTAAAAGGGTGATGCCAGTTTTTAATCTCCTTGTCCTAACTACAATGGTTTTAAGCCACTGGAAAGTAAGAGAAGGCTGTTACCTTCTACCTTGCCTGCTATGTGTCTATCTCTGGCTTTTTCAGGACTGTGAGAGAAAGAGAAAGAGAAATATTTATTTTCCTAGGACACCGTATGGTGAGGAGGAAAAGAGCTCTGGCTGGGGGTCTGCAGGCCTGGATCGGGTTCTTGGAACTCTGCCTAATGGGGTATGTGACCCTGAGCAAGTTTTCTGACCTCTCTAGGCCTCCACGTGCTCCACTGTAGAATGGACCTGATCATCGGTTCTCGACAGGAGCACATCCCCCGAGGGAGGTTCTGGTTGTTAGATGACTAGGCGAGAGCCAAGGATGACAGCTGTCCTACAAGGCACAGGAGGGTCCTGAATAAACAAATAGTGCCCTGGGTTCCACCTGTGTTCTACCAGCATTTCTTGTCAGGGAAAAGCCTAGAACCTATTTCTGAGTCAAACCTAATTCTCTTTTAATTATTACCCAAAGGGTTTTCTTTTTGTTTTTTTTTCCCCCCTGTGGTTTTTTTGCTCATGTTTAATGTATGCAGAATGCACCAGTTTTGATGGTTGTGTCCTCCTGCCCCTTAACTCTCCTTCATTTCCCTCTACTTTTTGTTCAGAATGGCTTCTGATTCTCTTTACTTAATCCAAACCTACTTTTGATAGGCACAAACATCTGACTGCTTTATGATGTCTTTTAGTGTAGTCATGCCCAGGTGTTTGTATGTTGCAAATATTATACATTTCCTTTTAAATTCTCTTTATTATCATATTTAGACCATGGTGCGATTTCTAATTATATGTATAAGCAGGTTATATTACCCCTGAATTTCATTTCCGTGTAGAAAAGGGAGCATTTCGAAGTAGTTGCTATAACAAGGTGAGGTGTTAGAACTGATGGGACAAAGAACAGCCCCTGGATGGGACAAGCTCTGAGTCCTCTCCCCGAAAAGCCCCCCGAGCCGGGGACCAGTTACCTCTGCGCAGGGCTTGCAGGCTCTGCCGGGCATGGTGGTGCAGCTCCTCCACGCAGGGCGGCCTTGTGGCCGGGAGGAAGAGGTTTCTCTGCT